GCAGAAAAAGAAGAAGAAGAAGCAAAAGAAGAATTAGAATAAGAAGAAGAACAGATAATAATAATAATAAAAAGGTGGTAAACAAGAATAAGAAGGACGAGGAAGAGAAGAAGAAGGAAAACAGAGAGAGGCAGCATCCGCAAATGACCTGACCGCTGCCCCCGTAAATCCACCGAGTGCAGACTTTCTCCACCTGGGCAAGGCCAAATCCATTTCCTCATCCACCTCTCTCTCTCTCTCTCTCTCTCTCTCTCTCTCTCTCTCTCTCTCTCTCTCTCTCTCTCTCTCTCTCTCTCTCTCTCTCTCTCTCTCTCTCTCTCTCTTCTCTCTTTCTCTCTCTCTCTTCTTTCTCTCTCTCTCTCTCTCTTCTCTCTCTCTCTCTTTCTCTCTCTCTCTCTCTCTCTCTCTCTCTCTCTCTCTCTCTCTCTCTCTCTCTCTCTCTCTCTCTCTCTCTCTCTCTCTCTCTCTCTCTCTCTCTCTCTCTCTCTCTCTTCTCTCTCTCGCTCTCTCGCTCTCTCGCTCTCTCGCTCTCTCGCTCACTTTCGCTCTCTCTCGCTCTCTCTCGCTCTCTCTCCTTCTTCTCTCTGTCTCTCCTCTCTTCTCTCTGTCTCTCTCCTTCTTCTCTCTGTCTCTCTCTCTTCTCTCTCTCTTTCTTTTCTCTCTCTCTCTCTCTTTTTCTCTATTCTTTCTCTCTTCCCTCTCTCTCTCTCTCTCTCTCTCTCTCTCTCTCTCTCTCTCTCTCTCTCTCTCTCTCTCTCTCTCTCTCTCTCTCTCTCTCTCTCTCTCTCTATTCGTCTATATGTGTCTGTTTATCTGTCTATTTGTATGTCTGCCTGTCTGACTGACTGAACGACTGACTGACTGACTGACTGACTCACTCTCACTCTCTCTCTCTCTCTCTCTCTCTCTCACTTTCGGTCTGCCTATCTTCCTTCCTCTTCCTCCTTCCCTCCCTCTCCCATAATCCCTTCATTTCCCCCCCCAATCCTTCCTTCTATCCTTCATTCCTTTCTTGTCTCCTCCTCCCCTCCTTCCTCCTGCCCTCCCCTCCCTCTCTCCATCCTTCCCTCCTTCCTGTTCTTCCTTCCTCCCTTCCCTTTCCCTCCTCCATATCCTCCCTCATTCTCCTCCCACCCGCACCCCCTTCCGTATCTACCCATTACTCTCTACCTTCAGTCCCTCCCCTACCCCCTGTTCCATTTCAACCCCTCCCCTTCCTCCCTATCCCCCTTACGCCCCTCCTCTAACTGTATTCCCCCCTCTTCAAACCATCATCCTTCTCTCTCTCTTCCCCTTCCCTCTCCCTCCCTTCCCCTTCCTCTCCCTTCTCCTCCTTTCCCCTCCTCCCTCTCCCTCCCTTCCCTTTCCCCTCTCCCTCTTCCCCCCTTCCCTCTTCTCTCTCTCTCTCTCTCTCTCTCTCTCTTCTCTCTCTCTCTCTCTCTCTCTTCTCTCTCTCTCTCTCCTCTCTCTCTTCTCTCTCTCTCCCTCTCCTCTCCCTCTCCCTCTCCCTCTCCTCTCCCTCTCCCTCTCCCTCTCCCTCTCCCTCTCCCTCCCTTCCCACTCCTCCCTTCCCCACTCCTCCCTTCCCCACTCCCTCCCTTCCCCACTCCCTCCTTCCCACTCCCTCCCTTCCCTCCCTTCCCTCCCCCTCCCTCCCTCCCTTCCCCCTCCCTTTCCCCTCCCTCTCCCTCCTTTCCCCCTCCTTCCCTCTTCCCCCTCCCTCTCCCTCCCTTTCCCTCCCTTCCCTCCCTTCCCCTCCCTTCCCCCCTCCCTCTCCCTCCCTCCCCCTCCTCCCCTTCCTTCCTCTCCTTCTCCCTCCTCCCTCCCTTCCCCTCCCTTCATCTCTCACCTTGACCCCCTGGGGGAACCTCTCCTCGCGCGGTCCGGGTCCGTAGACGATGGCACTGACTCGGTGGCCGTTGAGGTGGAGCAGTGCCGCCATCTGTGCCATGACCACCTCGTCCTCGCCTCCCCCTAGGGCCACCAAGACGATACCTCCTCCTTCTTCTTCTTCCTCTTCTCCCTCCTCCACTGCTTCCTTCCCATCCTCCTTCTCCTCCTGCTCTTCCTTCTTTCCATCCCTCTCCTCCTTCTTCTCTTCTTTCTCCTCCATCTTGCCTTCCCTCTCGACTTCCCTCGGGGGAGGGTGGGGAGGGCCGGCTCCAGGGAGGACCTGTTCCCCAGCAGGCGTCTGGGCGTCCTGAAGGAGGGGCTCTTCCCTGGCCTCGTCTCCGAGGATCTGGAACGGGGAGGGAAAAGTGGCGTTAGAGGGAATCTTTTGGGGTGTTGAGGGTGGTGGTGATGGTGAAGATTATAATAATGGTGATGGTGATGATGACGGTGATGGTGACGGTGGTGGTGATGGTGGTAGTGAAGATTATCATAATGGTGATGGTGATGGTGATGATGGTAATGGTGACGGTGGTGGTGATGGTGGTGGTGAAGGTGATTAAAATGGTGATGATTATAATAGCGATGGTGATGATGGTGATTAAAATAGCATGAGGGCAATGACGATAATAATGATTAATAATAATAATAATAAATATGATAATGATAACAACTACAACAACAATAACAAAAAAGATTACAACTAGCAACTTCGTGCGACAATGTAACCGAATGATGATACAATTATCAATTCTGTGATTGTTATTGTTGTTGTTATTGTTATTATCAATACAACCACTGTCATCTATGTAGTCTTTACTAATACTGTTATCATGATTACTACTATTATTATCACTGTTACTATCATTATCATTATTGTTATCATTACACTAACATTATCATTGTCATCATCATTGCCATTATCATCATTATCAGAATCAGTATCATCATCATCATTATTACTACTAGCATCATTATCACCATCACTAATGCTATTATAACTCAAAATACCATCATCTTTGCAATTATCATCATAATCACATAATCATTATCATTATTGCCATACTTATCCTCACTTCCCTAGTTTTAAGATAAAAATAATAATCAATAATTACCATAATAATAATAATAATTATTATTATTATTATCATCATTATTATCATCATGATTTTTACCGAATACCGTAAGTTAAGTTAATGTAAAGATGTTTATCATAATAACGAAAAAAAAAATCTAAAAAAATCATACTTGATAAAAAATAGATTTTTTCTACAATTGATATCTGTAATGATCCAGAAACTAATTGTAAAATTGTAAACACATACATATATTTAGAATATACAATTCTTTACGATATTTAATCACTTCAAAATAAACGATGATAATAACAATAATAACGATAATGATATCATTATCAATATTACTTTTATCATCATTATCAATAACAACAATAGTAATGATAAGTGAAAATGATAATCATGACAATGAAAAATAATAATAACTAATAACAATATGATAAAGTTGACAATGACGGCAAGACATAATTAGATTTCTATTTTCTTTAATGTAACCAATAAAATTGTGTTATGTGTACTGCAAAGAAATATTTGTATTAGCAACATTAGTTCCTCGTGTCTTTAAAGTAAATGACTTAAAATAATTAAGATATTATAAGATAAAACTAAAATAAAAAATAGCAATAATACGTAATCCCGTTGGAATTTCCATGAAATCGGTTAAAAATTATCAATTAAAAACCTCAAAACAAAAATAAACTTTTACAAATCATTCAAGAAGCTAAGATAATTTCTTTCAATAAAAAAAAAAAAAACTCAAAACAAAAATAAACCTTACCAAAACTCATCAAATAAAGATAAAACAAAAATGAACTTTTACCGATCTCACTAACCTGTTCGGCCCCGCGACCCTCCACTCCGCCGATGCACATGACCGCTAGGAGAGCGAGGTGACCTAATATCACCCACTCGCGCATATTTAGTGTCTTCGGAGCAGTTTCCTTGTACGAGATGACCTCTTTCGAAGTATGGAGTGGGATGAGAACTAATTTGCACAGGTCAAGACGTTTTTTTTTATTATTCGTTTTTATTTTTGTGTGTAAGGAATTGGTTTCGGGGTTGAGTTCGATATTTTTTCTACTGTGTTTTGTAGAATTGTTGTTATGGTTGTTGTTGCTAGGAGGGTTGTAGTTTCATCCTTCTCTCTCTTTCTCTCTTTCTTGATGTGTATCTTTTGCTTTCGAGTGAACTGACCTTCGAGAGCAATAAACTTATGTCACGTCTTGAAGGCGGTCTTGAGTGAGGTACTACGGACGCAAAGCAAATCCTTTTCCGTGCTCTTCTTTCTCGGTATTTGCTACAAGTATTTCAAATGATCGCCACTTATTCGTACGATTTAATAACAATAATAATAAACTTTACACAAATATTCTGTATGCCTTTATATCACGAAATAAAAGAACTGACAGACACACACCGGCACAAACACATACACATCCAGTATCTCCTAGTGTCAGCTTGGCAGTGTCACCCTTAAGGATGCCACAAGCCGTGATGACCTGCCTCCACCCTTTCCCCTCTCCCCTCTCTGTCCCCTCATACCCTCCCCCCCTCTCTCTGTCCCCTCATGCCCTCCTCCCCTCCCTCCTTCGCCCGTCGCCCTCCCTCCCCTTCTAACCTTTCCCCTCACGCAATTTCTCGAATTTTCTCCCCTCTGTTTTTCCGTTCTCTTTTTCCCTCTTTTGTAATTATTTCATTTTTTCTCACAAAAGCTGATAGACAATTTGGAAACATGCATCTCTTAATTTTATACATATTCTTTTTCACCTTGAACAGAACCTGGCAATTTAGTCAACCGAATTCACAAAGGACGAAACGCACTGAAAAATATCTCAAGAATTGGCTAAACGTGACACTGCATCTGGAATTGACATCAGGCAGAGAAAATCTAGAAAAAGATTCAACGAATAGAAAGGTTTTAATTGCTATTGTATAAATTTCGGATGTTTTATTGAAACAAACAGAAAAACACACTACAAACTTCTCAATTTCACTAATGAGTAAAGATATATTTATCACATCCAATCGAACTGAATGGAAATTATAACTATAGGTGAACTAATACTTAGAAAATATGATACTTAATTTCAATCATATCCCTTACACAAATTTATATAGATAACCTGATTTAACATAATAAAAGTTTTAAAATAATCTATACATAAACGGCATTTGGCAACTCGAACGAGCAGCTGCGTCCTGTTGTAGCTGCCAGCGCTCGCTATGTCCCCGTAATTGAATTAAAAATCATACCACAAATTTTATAAGAGCAAATACACCTGACTTAATCCCAAAATGGAAAATAATGACATTCCGATATAATAATATTAATAAGAGAATCACAAGAAAGAAAGAAAAAATGTGCAGGTACTATTTTCCCCAATTATCATTACCCTTATCGTTTATAAGAACATTTCAGATTTGATAATTCCGACAAAAATCCATAAAAAAAAAAAACAAACGTAAGCGATCTTTTCCTTTTACCGGTATATCTAACAGAGGGGAAACTCAGACGAAAATGAGTGAGGGGAAACGAACGCAAGACTTCCACGTCCTCACGCAGCAACGAGGCGGGAGATGTGCCATTAGTTTTCGTTCACGCGGTTGCCTTCGCTACGTGCGTACGTGGAGAAGTGTTTATGAAATAATGAGGAGAGGGAAGGGGGAGAGTAGACTGGGGGAAGGAGGGAGGATAGGAGAAGGAGAGGGGAGAGGGGAGAGGAGAGGGGGGGAAAAGAGGGGAGGGGGAAAGAGAGGAGAGGGGGAAAAGAAAGGGGAAAGAGGGGAAGAAAGTGGGAAAGGGATGAGAGAAGAAAGAGAGTGAGGAGAGAGAAGAGAGAGAGAGAGAGAGAGAGAGAGAGAGAAGAGAGAGAGAGAGGAGAGAGAGAGGGGAGAGAGAGGGGAGGAGAGGAGGAGAGAGGGAGAGAGGGAGAGAGAGAGAGAGAGAGAGAGAGGAGAGAGAGAGAGAGAGAAGAGACGAGAGGAGGAGAGAGGAGAGGGAGAGAGAGAGAGAGAGAGAGAGAGAGAGAGGAGAGAGAGAGAAGAGAGAGAAGAGAGAGAGAGAGAGAAAGAGAGAGAAGAAGAGAAGAGAGAGAAAGAGAAGAAAGAGGAGAGAGAGAGAAGGAAGAGCGAAGAGAAAAGACAGGAAGAGAGGGAAATGAGACACATAATAGAGCATCTATAAAACATCTCGTCGATTCGGCGCGTCTTTCATGATGCAATACTGGAAGGAAAGACATCATCCCATTTGTCACAACTGCAGTACAACACGTGCGCATATAGGCATATATGTGCATATTCGAATACTACTTATACACATGTGCAAATATGTGCGACAGCACAAAATTTTGAAACTTTTGTTAATAAACAAGTACTCACAATAAAAAATTCATATTACAGCACTCTCTCGCACACGTGCGTAAATAATACCCCCCCCCCCCCACACACACACACACACTCAAACACACACACAGTCAGTCACTCACACACAACACACACACACACTCAAACACACACACACACTCACTCACAAACACACAACACACACACACACACACTCTCTCTCTCACCACTCACTCACACACACACACACACACACACACACTCTCACGACTTACTCACACACACACACACTCACACACTCTCTCTCCTTTCCTTCTGCCCCTCACTCACTCCCTCTCCCACTCAAACACACACAAACAATCTGATTCTTCCTAAACCCTTTTACTTCATCCAGACCTTCGGAGCAAGCAATCCCCTCAAAGGAATGGCCTTGACCTCAGTAGTATCAGGTTACTTCCAAGCTCCGTTGACACTCGATTTCATTACACATGTTGATTTGACGTAGTTTGCAAACCTCTGTTCTTGTGATTTTCTTTTTTTCTGTTGGGGGCATACAACTGATTAGTTTAAATGTTTGTAAATCATTTATATGATAATAGTTTGTGTTTATTCTCATGGTCAACTGGCAAGAAAATAAAAACACACACTAAAATAAATAATTGCAAGAAAAATATCTCATTTTCTGTATGTACTTAAACACCAACACCTATGGTATTCCTTTCAAGAAACATATATTAGAAAGCTTCAATATAGTCCATATTTACCTTTCAAAAAAAATTGTACATCTGCAATTTATTTGCATTCCCTCTCCCTTTTCTTCAAAAAACACATCTCTCTTTATTTTTTGGAAATAAAACAAACCAGTAAAGGTTGTATGTTTAATGTACAAGGAAATTTTGAAACAGACTTAAGATTACCTAGGCTCATGCACCCTGAACCATACCTTACATCTGCTGCAACATATGCAATGAACATAATGACCCAAATTCTGGGGGATGTATATGGTCAAACCAGCCTTAGTATAAACAGATGCTTACAACCTGTTTACAGCAGTAACCTATGTACAAGATTACATACATAAGGCATAATCAATACACATAACAGCCTGTATTTCTTTTATACAGTCTTCTGTGATACAAACTTATCGATATTGGAAATTCATCTTTGCGCATGACTGCCAATAATATGACTA